ATATCTCAATGACGAGGAGCCTGACCGCCGCCGCCATCTTTTCCCAAAAATCCTCGGATAATCGTCACGATCTCTGGTGGCGGAGATGGCCTGCGGAACCAGGTCTACTACGGAGTACTCGACCCTCCAAGTCCAGCCTGAAAGAGTCGCACCAGAGTCTTTAACAAATGGCGGTGATGAATTAATAATAGGCCGGGGAGCACTCTTTCATTATTGTCATTCCATCCGAAAGTGATGCATCCACCCTCAATATTGCTCTCGTGTCGGGTCTGGACGCCAGGCGCCAAACTGGCAGGTTTGCATGGTGGAGTTACCTATTCATCAAAGTCGAACACGGCGGCCGACGAACAGGCTTGGGCTCATCATTTTCATCATCAACAACAACTCGACAGCGGACTTTTGTTCCAACCCGAAGTATGACGGGAAGACCCTAGCAGCGACCACGCGCTATGTTTCTTCTTCAGTGTAAATTCTCCGATTCTCCAGGGCTGGATTCGAGGGTCTTACTGATTCCGTCCTAGTCTGTACCACCCTGCTCGGGTGGGTTTGGTTAACTGCACTTCTTGCTGTCAAAGGGACAAGGGCATCTCGTGTTCGTAGACGCCGGTTTGTCCGCTGCTCGTCCTACGTTGTAGGGACCTTACTTCCATCCCGCAGTAGAAACAGGGTGCGCAGCAAACTCATTCCGTGCTCAGCCAGTGCTCGGACGCGCCCCTCTGGTGTTAAGAGTTCCTCGGGTAGACGAACCCAGAGCTTGAAAAGCGATCTGCCTGGTCATCTCGGTTATACCACAGTGTAGCTAGTCCGTGCTGAGTTTGCCGAGAACGATCCTTATTGCAGTTGATTATAATGAAGGGACAAGTCAAACTGTCAAAGCGTCCAACAAAGCCAAGTCACCTCGGGATCAGCCAACGGCTCGGTGGCTTCGAGGTCGGATTTACAAAGCAGCCCAGGCATGCAGACTCGCTAGATACTTGCGAGCGACTGTCAATTCGGAGGCAACTTGCTGCGCAGGAGAGTATCTACTCCCTGAACCCACTGAAATTGGACAATCTTCACTTGGGCTCATAATACCGAATAGTGGCCTAAGACATGGACCATCACTTGCCGCCGCGTCTGCGCTTGTTTCCCTGCCAGATCTAGAACGTTGGTCGATGGCCTGTCCGGTGGTTCAGTTTTGCTGTGACGCGCAATCTGTCGGTTCCTGTAAAGCCCTCCTGGTGGAAATTACGAATGATTTCCTTTGTACCGAGCAAAACCAGAGATACCAATCTATGTGATTCCTCTCATGTATGACCATGGCTGTCTTCAGAAGAGAGCGATAATCACGATTGCGGAGAAAGTTGGCAGGCTTTCGTTCGAACGACGGGGCTGACAGGCGGGAAGAAAGGCAGTCTGAAACACTCGTTCTGCAAGATTTCTGATTACCCAGGGACAGGTGGGGAAAATGTGGCTTGCCTTTAACGCAAGTCTGCTCTTTGATTGGGTCTGAGATCTCGAGCCCCGGACTGGAACGGGACCGGTGGGAACTGTCAACGCCAGCTTCATGGGTCCGCCAAACGCCGCTCAACAATTTATAAGAGACTTGGGATGAGAATAATAAGATTCGTAGTGTCTAAAATAATGCCTAGGCTTTGCTGAAGAATGCAATCGAGTCTGTGTTGGGTCTCGACCGTATCAACTTGCAAAGGGGGCTCAGTGGGTTTGGGTGTTAGCATTCTACGTACGCCGACACACCGCAGTCGACCAATCGACGCTGGATGGAGA